TTCCCAGAGGATGACTGTATACTAAACAGACATAACTACCAAATGCAATCCTTGATTAGATCTTGGCTGTCTTAGTTCATTTGTGTTCTATAACAAAATACTTTAGATTGGGCATAAATAGAAATCCACTTCTCAAGTTTTGGAGGCTGGGAAGTGCAAGATCAAGGTGCTAGCAAATTTTGCATCTGGTAAGGACTCTCTGCTTCCAGTGGGGCTAGCATTCTCAGGAGACTGAGGGCAAAAAGAGTAATGTGGGTGAAGCCCTCATGTCCTAATGGCATCCCAAAGGCCCCACTTCTTATTACTATTACATTGAGGATTAAGTTTTAATATAAATTTTGCAGGGACACAAACATTCAAATCACATCATTAGTTTTTATTAAACAATCATGTTTTTTCGTGCCTGAAAATTTTCAAAATAAAAAGTTGAGGGGGAAGAAAAAAGAAGTAGTAGCTCAACCTCTTCAAAAAATTACTCGGGGTGGTTTGGTGGTAACCTAGAGGCCAGAGGGAATCACTTCAAAACTTGTGAGAGGCCAGGATTATAGCTCTGTGCATTTTTGATAAGACGTTTGGTACGATGCCTTTTGGAGCTTAAGTCATACTTTCTTAAGGGCTACGATTTTAAACAGAGGAACTTGCGAGGGAAGAGGATGCAGTTCCTAGGTTATGAAACATGTTCTATAGCCGGAAGCTTTAATTACAACTTCTTTGGAGTTCATAGTATATCGTCCTCTTTAATCCCCAATCAGAGGTTTGAGTCATCAAAATAAATCTGCAGGATTTACTCACAGAGTTTATTATTGAGCAGCTCAGCTTCAGTTTCCAGGGATATGATATATGACACCTTCTGCCCTTTGACTGCTGATGTGTCTCCTGATCTCCAAAGCCAAAGCAGAGTCCAAGATTAGGGCAACATCTATTTAAGGGTGTGTTTTTGCAGGTGCTGGTTGGCACATGACGACTGAACGTAGGGATGATTCAATGCTGAGAACAATGTGGAAACTTCACTGGGGAAAGAAAACACTTCTGGTAGGAGAAGTTCAAGTTGACATGCATGTATAATAACTCCATCAATTTCCCCCATGAGGGGGTGCACACAAGGACGTGCGTGAGCGCGTGCGGAGCGGGGGGATATCTCTGAAAGATGACTTGGAAACCCGACTGCGGTTCTTTGGAGAAGAGGATTTAAAGGTTTCTGGCCTGCCCGGAAGAGACGCAAGACTGGGATTTCTTTTGGATTTTAGGAAGGATGAGACCAAAGACCGATGAATGCATTCATTCGGATATTGGTGAATTCAGAGTAGCTTCTGGTCAGATCCACCCCTCCCCCTGATGTTTGCGGCACCGGCACGAAGCAGGATTCCCCAAGCTCCATCCCTCGCGGCGATTCGCTGTCCCAGGAAATTCTCCTTTCCCAACTCGGGATCGGTGTTCCTGGCCCGCCACCCCGAGACCTCCCGGGCTGCAGGCTTCACCCGCTTCCGGTCTCACTGTCAGCTCGGGCTGCAGCGAGGGGAGAGGGCTTAAGAGCTCGTCAACTTCGGGAAAACTTGGTCGCCAGGCAGAACTGGGGTTTTCGGGCTTCCCCGGCCCTCCCACGCCGGGTCACACAGCCAGCCTTAAAGTGGCGCGGCCACTATCGCTGCTGTCCTCCAGGCAGGTTCTGAGCTGCAGAGACCCGGGCGCCCGACCGGCAGCGCCGCTTCAGCACCGAATGCGCCCGGGACGTGGCCGCCGCCATCCAGGGGCTCCTGGCGGGGGACAGCGGGTGCCAGGAGACTTTGCGCCACGATGCTTTGTTTTCCTGCCGCAGGAACGCGAGGCGGTCGCTTTCCACCAGACTTAACCCGCCCGCAGCAATAGCCATGGAAGTTGCAGCGGCGGCGCAGAACCAGAGGGGACCCGGTGGCGCGGCATCTTTTTTGGATGTTTCTCCTCCTCACGGGCCACTTCTTTCCTCCTTTGGGTAAGTGGACTCAGTTTCTAAATGGCCAAAGAGTAGAACTGAAGGTGATGGAAGCGAATTAGAGCAGCACAAAGCGTTCATGGGCTCATGGCTGGGTTTGTCTGGGGAAGGGGTCTAACGTCACCCCCACCCCAGGGCGGTCCATCCCAAATATCGCAGTTCAAGGAAGAGTTGCGTTTGATTTCAGGCATGTTGCAGTAGAGGGTGCTGGGGTTTATGTACTTATTTATTTTTGGTGCATTTTTCTTCCCACAAACTTGTCTTTGAAAACATTCCAAGAAGGGAGATTGAAAGTGGAGGATAAGAGGAAGCCCTAGAAGTCAATGGCTGGGACAAGGTAAGAGCGGAGGTACCAATGATTTAGCAGAAAGATGATCTTAAGGGCCAGAGACTAGTCTTTATCCCAGACCAGCAGCTGTAGACTCTCATCCTGCTCCCCACTCCAAGAATGTCAATCCCAATCCTCCCCAATCCTTCAGTGACTGCCCTACTGATGCCATTCTGGGGGAAGGTCTTTCATTACCCAGGGGCGAAACATAACTTCTAATGAGGACCTGCAACCAGGATGTTAAGTAAATAAATGTTTGTTGATTGATACTAAATCTGCATTTTGTGCCACAGAATTTTGCCTTGGACAGTGAACTAATTCCCTGATGTTGACCCAAGTATAGCCCAATTTATTCTGCTAAGAGGAGGGACTGGTGTCTTGGATAACACAACCTTTAGATCTTCATTACCCCCAAATAATCCAGCTGACAGCTTCATAGTCAGATTCCTGGGTCCAGGGACCAGATGAGCTCACAAGGTTCTGGCATAAAAAGTATGGGCCTTTGGCTCAGGCAAACTTGGGTTTGAATCTCTATGTTGTGACCTTGGAAGGATTTCTTTATCCCCCTGAGTCTTGATCTTCTCATCTGTTAAAGCAGGAGCTTTCTCAAAGAAAGGTAGGGAAGATGAATGTAGAGGAAATAAGAGAAGGCGAAGGAGCATCCAATAATATCAGTCTTGCTTGCCCATCCTTAGAGAATTCAGAAGGGAAGGAATCTTTCTATGCTGACCTCTCTCTGACTTGGATGGAGGTAAAAATATTGCATTGCAGTCCCTGGGCCTGTGAAGTTATGGAGGAGAGGGCAAAGTGATGCTCCAAGGCCCTTCTTAGAATCAACTTTCTTAGGGCTTGGGAACAGAATTTCCACACATCCTAGGGGATGAATGGGAAAGGCAGAAATTCTGAATATCTCATTTCCTTGTCTCATCCATGCTCTCTGTCTTCTACTACAGGAGGTAAAGTGTGGAGAAGGTAGCTCTGAGGCACCTGGGGAACCTGCCCAAAGGGCTGAGGAGTCAGAGTAGCACCATTGGAATGGTACCATTTTCCCTGTACGTGGTCTGTAGAGAACTCAGGGCTCCAGCTTGGGCTGCCTCTACGGTCAGTGACAAAGCATTTAGCAACTTTCCCACAGACCAAGGTGGTCCTTTATGGATCTTGCCCTTGGACTTGGAGACCTGGATGTGTTGGGGAAAGTTGGGGGTGGATGATGGAAAAGGTACTGCTGACACATGGCTCCACAGGGTCTCATGTAGTGGCATGCAATTCAGAGAGCAAGTTCTAGTGTAGGGTTTCAGGACCACAGCTGCGTGGTTGGGGGTGGCAGTCACTTTCTCATTCATAAGTAAAGGCAACAACAATATAACCTGACCTTCTGGCACCAGATACTCTTATTCTTTTCCATAAGGCCAGCACCTAGCACTCTGGAGGCTGAAGAGGTGTTCAGTTTATGCATATGTTAAATGAACAATGAATTTTAGTAACCTTATCTATACCCGGCAGTAATGATGACTTTAACGACTTCTATCAATTCGTGCCTTCATTTAGCAAGCATTTCTTGAACATCTACGATGTGCAGGGCCCCATTACTAAGCATCCTAGGGAATTTTATATTGATACTTCAGAGTGGCCTCTTTGAGAACCTCAGTACTGGCTTTTCTGGAGACTTCAACACAAACCCCTGTGGTTTCTCGCAGGGCTAGAGACTAGGGGTGAGGATAGTGTTCCCGGTTTAGCCACTTTCTGGGAACATGGTTGGGGGTCTCTTTGCACTTCCCGGTCCTGGGTCCTTGGGCTCTCCAGGGCTACTGCTCCCTGGAACCGCCCGGCCTTGGCAACTCCTCTTTCCTCCTGGGCCATGGTACCTCTCTCCAGCCCTCTCCTCAGCCTCCGAGCGGGAGTCCAAGTCGTACCGCAGGTAGCTGGGGAAGGGACCGGGCTGCGCCTGGGGAACGAGCTTCCCCGGATGGGGAGATCGCAGCCGACGCCGAGCAGTCCCAGAACAAAAGGCTCATGACTGGCACTGGCCTCCGTGGAGTGCAGCGGGGACGTGGGTTCGGGGCTCAGGCGGGAGAACCAGGAGCGGGAGGGGACTGGACTGAAAAAATGAAGTGACAAAAGAAGGGGAGGAGGCGCCCAGGGTGGGAGCGGTGAGAAGAGGTGATCCCCGAGGCAGAGGTCTGCGGCGGGGCCGCAGCAGCCCTTCCTCCGCCTCCTGCGGAGCCTTCCAGGCAGCCAAGCGTGTCTCCGGCTGCAACTCCACGGAGCGCGCCGCGGCCGCCTCCCAGCCCGCCGCCGGTCGGCCTTGCCAGTAAGTAGCAGCGCGCCGGCCGCCCGCTCTCGCCCCGCCCGGCTTCCTCGCCGCTGCTCCTGCTGCCTCCCGCCGCCGAGCGGGCAGGTCCGCCACCTCCCACCGCCTGGGGCCTGGCAGCCCGGCTCACCGCACCTCCGGGCCGGGAGCCTCTGTGCGCCGCGCGCCCTGCGCTCTCCCGCCGCGGCTAGGCATCTGCGGCGCGCCACGGGGAGGGTCGGCTTCGCGGCGCGCTCCCCCGGCGCCGCGCCACCCCTCTGTCCAATGGCTTTCGGGGGGTGGGGAGTGGGGGGCGTCGCCCGGGGGCGAGGAGCGCGGCTGGGGTGGGGCGTGTGCGCTCTGCGCCGCGGAGCTAGGCTGACGTGCCCGCCCGAGCGCGCGTCCGGGAGTGTGTGTGCGAGAGTGTGTGCGAGAGTGTGTACGTACACGCCTTCGGGGGCCGAGTGACACTGCAGTGGGCTTCTCCCTAGCCTCAGCCTTCCGGCTGCTCAACCCCCAACCTGCCGCACCGCTTTTGGAAAGCAGCTTGGTGGCTCTTCGTCTTCCCGAGCCTTCCTCTCCATCCTTTCATCCACCCCTGGCCAACCTTACTTTTTCTTTTACCCACCCGGCCGCAGCAGACCGCCCCTCAACCGGTGCAGACACCCAAGCCGTCTCCAATTCTTCCCTAAGCCAATATTTCCCCACCTTTCTCTGGAGCCCCCTCCACGAGCCAGTCCAAGGCTCCCCCATCCTTGGAAATTGTTTTGTTGGGCTGCTGTACCGAGGCGTGTAAAGCTCGAGGGCTTTATTATTATTTTGATTCTTTTCATTTCCTCCCCTTCTGGGCAACGGAGCAATGAAATTTCCAATCGAGACGCCAAGAAAGCAGGTGAACTGGGATCCTAAAGGTTGGTATTTGCTACTTTTGGCCGCCCTTGCCGGGCGTGTGCGCGCTTCCATGAGTGAAAGCACTCTTGCCCCCTGGCAGCGTGTGTCCCGAGGCTGGGAAATGCTCCTGGGGACTGCAGCGCGGGTGGGAGGAGGGCGGAGGCAGCGTGGGTTCGGAACCCAGATAGCGCCTGTCATTACCACATAATCATTGTCCTTCCTGGATTTAAAAAAAAAAAAATCTGTTTAAAGATACACTAAACTGACTTCTTGGTTTGAAATTGCACCAAGTGTCAATATTTGCTTTTGACTTTGGGTGTGCAAGTGTGTGTGTGTCTGTGTGTGTGTGTGTGTGTGTGTCCTTTGTTTCTGGTGATCTTTGTCTCTCTGGCAGATGGGTGGGGTGCTTCTCCTGGACCTGGAGCTGTACAGCAAGCCCTGGGTGTCCTCAGTGGGAAAGGTTTCCTGGCAGCAAGTGAGGCTCTGATCTGTAGCCACTGTCCCGGGGGATGGCCTTTCGCACAGGGCAAGCATAATAATGGAGCCCCTAAGGCCTCTGGAGTCTTCCTTCGATCTTATTACCAAACTAGGCAGCTGGTTTGGCTCAGGTTGGAGTAGAAGCGGGCGGGGGAGTGGTTTTCGAGATGGGTGGGGCTGGCAAGGGCTCTGGGAGGGGTCTCACAGTGTGCCCACTGCAGGCAATGGTGTGGTTTACATGTTTTTTACAAATGTTTGTCTATGTGCCTTCCCTGCAAAATAGGTAGATTTGTGTGTGCCTAGTGTTGGTCACCGTGACTGAAATTAGCATCCAGATGTTAAGGTTTCTCCTGAGAGATTAATAAGGGAGCTGAACACATTGACAGCACGTGTCCAGTTGTGACCAGAATGCTCTTCAGCGTGTTCTTAGCTCATCTGAAGGCTGAACTGGGCTAGGAGTGGCCTCTGGGTGTGTTTTGGGGATGAAATTTATTTGGTGGGTGGGTGTCGTGTTTAATGTTCTTTATGAGGAGCATTTCTTCTCCAGAATGGAAACAGGAAACCCACTCAATTTGTTAAGTAAATGACTTATGAATTGACAGGTAGTTTAAGACTGAATGGAGAGGTGTTGCCCTTCAAAAACACTGAGTTTTTTTTTTTAAACACCTTAAATACAATCCAGACTTACCTTGTTTTTAAATCTCTAGAAATATGAAAGTGTTTTTTTTAAATTCCTCCAGAGCATATTTATTGAATACCAAGCACAGTCTTAGGCACTGGAGATATAGTCAGAACAGGGCAGACAAAAGACTCTAGCTTCTTGTAGTTTAAAGTAAAGGAGACAGATTTAAAGCAATCATTGCATGGAGGAGTCCATAATTAAAAGTCTATGTATGTACCATGAGCATCAGGATTTTAAGGAAGTGTTTGATAGAAGAGATTGACAAGGACCAACGGAAGCATGTGGCCAGGGAATCCTTCCCTGAGGAGATTAAACCTGTACTGAAACCTGAAGTAGTAGTTAATTGACCAGTGAGAAGGGGAATTTTTTTGCAGAAGAGGGGAATGGCAAGTGCAAAAGTCCTGGGACACATGTATTTGAGATCCTCTGAAAAGAGGTTCATGATTGGAGCAGAGAGCAAGGGAGCTTATATTTTAAGATGTGACAGAGGGTGGGGTGGGTGGGTGGTGGTGGATCAAATTCCAAAGCCCTGATGGTGTTAGAGGTGGAGTAGGATTATGGGGTGGGAGGAAGAGTGCAGTCTTTAAGTACTGAAGAGTTTCAAGCTGAAGAGTGACGTGATCTGAACTAAGTTTTAAAATAAAGGTCGTGCAGCTCTCGTGGATATAGGAGATGAAATGCAATGGTGCATGGAGCCAGGTGGTGGCCGTGGGAAAGGAGGGGTGCATGGAGGAGGGAGCTGGAGAACGTGATGTCATCAGGTGTGGAGGTGGGACCCCTGGAGCTACTGGAAGGCAGCCACAGTGGGACCACCGTTGAGAAGGCGCCTGACTTCAGTCTAGGTCTGGTCCAGTGGGAGATACCCTCTTAACCACCAAGGGTGGGCAGTTGTCAGAGTGGAGGTCTCCTCTGTTAGGGAAGGAGCACTGTGGAACTGATTTTGTGAAGCTGGCCTTGACTTTTTAAGTTTATTCTAATTAGTTGGCCTTGACTTTTAAAATACATTTCTGTGGGATCATCATTCTACAGATTCATGTCCTGGTGGTAAGTGACATGTGGAGGAACTTTCCACATGTTACAGTGAAGGAAAGAATGGAAGTAGCATCCACAGTTACTAGTGTTGCTGCTAAAAATAAAAAGGCTTCAATAAACAAGCACTGCCTACCAGGTGTTTTATGTACGTTATTTCATAGTTTCAAAATACGGATCTGATGTATGTTATCGTCCCATTTGACACTCGATGGCCAGCAGGATGACATGAAGCTGCCTTCCATTAAGTGAGGTGCTCGACTTATTCAAGGTTGTTCCTGATGGTGGAGGTGACCATGGTCTTTCCTAGCTAGGGACAGAGGCAGGAGGAGAGTGAGGCTTAAGGACAGCAAATCTTAACTTTCTATGGAATTATGTGCCAGACACTGGACTACTGATTTACATACATTAATTAACTTAATCTTTGCAAAAATCTTAGGGGGAAGATATTATCCTAATTTCATAGATGAGAGAACTGAGGAACACAGAGGTGAAGTAACTTGCCCAAGATTGCAAGGTATTGGGACTGGACTGGAATCCAGGGTCTGAAACACACTTTCAGACTGTGTCTTTTAAGTTATTGGGACCTCTGGCTCTTGCCTGGTCCAGGAAAGGAGAAGCTCATTGGGAGAAGGAGAAGGAGGGAGGAGGAGAAGAGGCAAGAGAAGAGGAAGAAGGAAGGAGAGGAGGAAGGGAGGAATGAACTAGGAAGGGAGGAATGAGTCTTCCAATGAACTAGCTGTCCCTGTAAATTCTTTTCTCCACCAACTTCTCTAGGTAACAGCACCTTCAGTTCTCCATCTTGTGGACCAGTCACTGGCCACTGGACAGACTTTGGTTAAGTTCTGCAGAGGTTCAGTTTGATACACCAAGTGTGTTTATCAGAGCAATAAAGGGGGATCTAACATACAATAGAAAAGTGAGGCACAGTTCACATTACAGGGTGTTTCAGTCAGCTTTTTCACCACTGGGACTAACAGACCCAACCAGAACAATTATAGAGGAGGAAAAATTTATTTTAGGGCTCTCGGTTTCAGAGGTCTTTGTCCATAGAAGACTGCCTCCATGCCTCAGGACTCATCATGGCGGAAAAGTGTGGCAGAGGGAAGCAGCTCACATGTTGATAGGTAAGCAAAGAGAGACACCACTCTCCAGATACAAATATATACCCCATAGCCACAACCCCAATGAACGGCTTCCTCCAGCCACACCCACCTGCCTCCAGTTAATCCCATCAGGGATGAAATCTCTGATTAGGTTAAGGCTTTAACTCAATTATTTTTCCTCCAAACCTCCTCGCATTGTCTCATAATGTGAGCTTTCACAGGGACAATGCATCTAAACCGTAACACAGGGACTGTAGGATTGGGTGTGGAACCCTCAGGTGGAGATGCTCAGGAGTTATGGAAGGAAGTTATAATTATGATGCTTTGCTCGAAGCCCCATTGCCTGACAATTTAATAGCACCAAATGAAGGTGATTTGAGAACAGATTGGTTTTGATTGCTCTTAGATGAATTAAGCAAAGCACTGTCAAGAGGTGTGCGCACAAAAATGAAGCTGAAGGATGAAATGATTAGTCTTTGGTGGGCTGTGTCCTTCCTCCAGAGTCACAGAACTGAGCCTTCAACTAAGAGGGGTGCTGTTTGGGTAGAAACCACACAAAGGTAGATTGGCACTAAAGTCTCAGCTTTCAAAGCAGAATTCATATGCATTTTTGGATCACCAGGATCACTTAGTGGTGATTTTCTGTTTAAAATCAGAATTTGTTTGCTGCTTCTCTGTGTTAAGAACTTTTAAAAGCCAAATGAAACCAGTTGCTGTGGGCCACGCCTGTAATCCCAGCTTCTCAGGAGGCTACGGCAGGTGGATGGCAAGTTTGAGGCCAGCCTTGGCAGTTATTGAGTCTCTGTCTCAAAAAGGGGGAAAAAAAGTCAGGAGATCAGCAAACGGCATTCACATGGATTGAGGCAGACTGATCAGTATAGTATAAAAAAGTGTGGACTGGGGAGCAAAAGAATTAGGTTCCAGAACCAGCTGGAGTGACAGTTAGCTGTGTGACGTTGGATTTCTCCTTTAGCCTCTCTGGATTTCACTATCTTCCCGTGTAGAAAGGGGCCATTGACCTGGCCTTTGTATACCTCTCTGGCTTTATCTGATCTTCCGACCACTCGACTTCCCTTTGTTTCTCAAGTCACACTCATTTCTGTCTCAGGGCCTTTGCGCTTGCACTTTTTGCTGTTCATAATGAATGTTCACTTGAATGGATGAGGGGTGGATCAGAGAGGATGGAAGGCTCTAAGCATCGGGGAAATTCCAGGTCCCCTCTCTCTACATGTGACAACGTATAAATAAGGAGAAAGGAAGAATGTCCTTAAATAGTGGGGCATCAGAAAGGCGAAACCACGACACTGGAGCTGGATTTTTAAAAGACACCCTCACTTTTTTGTGCCTACTTTTATTTTCCCCCATGCATACTTTAAAGCAGAATTGCAGACAGGCCCGTGGTGTATGTGAGTAGCATGTTTCAGTTTACAGAACGCTCTTCACAAATGATCTCATTTGTTCTTTAAACAACCCTATTTTTGTAGGTATTAGAGTCTCAGATTTACTGATGGGTAGACTAAGATGTAGAAAGGATAAAGGTGCAAACAGGCAGAACCGGGGCTCATCCAGGGCTTCCGATGCTCCATCCAGAGCAGTTTCCCTCCAGTTTCCCCCTCCCCAGGCTCTGTCCCTCCCACAGTCTCCCACTCCTCCTTTCCCCAACGTGGATCAGAAGTTCCTCAGAGGGATGTAGAGGAACTGGCTCTCTGTTGATCAGGGAGTCCTT